TTGAGTACTTTCTCCACCACTGCTAATATTATCTCCCTATATATATATATAACTAAGCATTTACTTTTCATATTTTGGTTGCTGAGTCACCAGCTTATCTATCTTGCTCTGTGTTTGTTTAGTCCGGGGGTCTGCTACCTGCGGCTCTGGAGCCACAAGTAGCTTTTAATAACTTTGGCTGCAGATGAGAACAAAAAAACCCCAACTACTACTAGATTAAGAAAAAACAAATCCAGCTTTTATCAAATTTACAGCTCTTTCTTTGAATAATTTAATTGTACCAAATACATTCATATATCTAATTATCTTGTCATTAGGTTGAAAACAATGTGCTTTTCTTTGCCAATACCAACATCCCATGAAAGGTTGGGTTTATTTCTATTTTTGGGTTTTTACAGAAAAACCCAAAAATAGAAATAAAATGGAGGTTCTTTAAAAAATAAATTTCCTATAATAAAAAGGAAATTTGACTTTTTTTTTTTAAATCAAACATTTTAAAAATGTCATTTATCAAAAGGTCATGTAACTCTTGTGGCTCTAAATGAGTTTTATTTAGCTGGACTGGGGGCAGAAATGGCTCTTTGAATGGTAAAGGTTGCAGACTCCTATTTTAGTCCAAATCACTGTTAAATGCATTTTGGTTAATAAGTGGAAAAGAAATAGGATTATGCTCATTTCTGCTGATTTCTTGGCTCCTTGCTACTTACCTGTGGAAGTGCAAACTCTTGGAGCTGTAACTATGTCTTAAAATCACATTAGGGTATAATCACAACATTCTGGCTCCTTTAGCTGCTTTGAAACACCATTTCTGGAGGGAAACTAATGGCTGCAAAGCAAACAGCTCATTTTAATGCCAGTTCGCTAAAAACTGGTCACATTGATGGACCTAAGAATGAGTGACCCTCCCGTCTTTAGCCCACTGCAGAGGACTCGGCCTTTCTCATCCTACTTAGTTGAGTCAGGCCAGAGTGGAGGTTTTTACAAAGTAATACTTGGCAGAGTTCGCTAAAACAATTTATTTTCCCACTAACACAGACAAACTCTGCAAGCTGTAAACACGCTGCCAGCGTTATCCTCATTCAGAGAGCGACTGTGGGAGGAAATACGTTCTGAATCTCGCTACAGCAACGTTGTAATGAGCCTTTGGGCTGAGCTCAACTCATCTGTCGTTTGTCAAAGCCTCCACCCATAAAGGTCAAAGAAATATTTCTGAGTAAGCAAGGGAATGCTGACTTTTTAAGCGCCTCAAATGGATTCCACTTGTGGGTGTCTGCCTAGCTGAATAATGGCTCTTAGGAGGGTATAGACCATTGACTCGACCATTAAATGTATGGAGGTAGAAAAAAAAAATGTAAGGGGCTTTGAAAAATGGTTCTTGTGCAGGACAGTACGAGGCTGCGCCAGCAGGATGTTTCCATCTAGTGTTCACACGCTGTAACTGAGAATCACAAAAACACCAGACCGCAAACATTTCCCAAAGAACTTCGGAGCACTTCAACTAGGGGGATTTCTTTTTGCCTTACATCAACAATGTGACTCAGTGTCGTCTTTCACCTTCGTATGACTTCATTGTTCCAGTATTTGCAAAGTGGCGTTGTGCAACTGCAGAGGCTGGCAAAAGCATTCGTATCCATTCAGCTTGTTCACATTTTCTCATCTTTCAAAAAAGAAACCTAAATAGAGAGCAATAGTATTTTGGGATAAACTTGCAAAGCAGTGAAGTGAAATGAAAAGGATATAAAATATGTACATAAAAACATTTATTCTCTTTCTTTTTATCCAGCCCTTGTACTCTGATACTGCTAAATACAATCCAGCTACCAACTTTACAGTCCAAACGTAGGATTACCGACACTGAATGCCACCATCAAAGATAATGGTGGCATTATCATACTGAAGGGACGCTCCGACTGGGCTTTAACAGAGAAGCTGGTCAGAGTTGACAGGAAAATGGATGATGTTAAATAAACAGAAAACCCAGAAGAAAACCTGTCAGAGGCTGGAAAAGAACAGAGTACAAAAGATGAACAATGCCTCAAACCACACAGGCAGAGCTACAGTGGAATGGTTTTAGAGCAAAGCATGTTTGGGTGTGGGAATGACCCAGTTAAAGTCCAGACTAACGTTTGACTACAAATCCTGCGCAAGAACTGAAAATCACTGTCCATTCAACCCAATTGAGCTTGAGATATTTTGCAATGAAGAATGGGCAAAAATTTTAGTCTCTCTTCCAAATCTCTTAGAAATATGCCTCAAAACACTTCCCTGCTATGTTCATACATATGTAGGCTGAACCGTTTAGATTTTTCATTCTAAGAAGAGAGATGGACAAAAAAAAAAAAACTTGCATCATTATCCGTCCACTTTACCCTGTGTTCACGTAAAACTTCAATAAAACACTGAGGTCATTTGTTCTCAAAATCTGAACAAGTTGAAAAGTATGGTATCTTTGTCTCTTTCTAATTCAAATATATGGTATTGTAATTTGTTTATGAAGTAATACTTTAGTGTAAAATGCATACTGAAAATGTAAAACAATTTAAAAACAAAGCCAAGAGCAAATTAATACATGACATGTGCTCTGATGCGTTTTTTTTTTCTGTCCCTAGCTGCACCGCAAGCAATGAATAAGGAACACAGGAGAAAGCCAAGTGAGGAAGACGCCAGATAACCTCCTTTGTTCCTCTGCGTGCCTTTGTGTCTGTTGATCTTCATTGCTCCGCTCCATTGTCCAAACCTGGGAACTCTTTACTACAGCAGCACACACTTTATACAATTCTTTTTAGGGGCTGGAAACAACACCACCCTCGCAGCTTCCTCAAACACCTCCCTCATGTTTTCCTGCTGCAGAGCGGAACACTCCATGTACTTAGCGGCCCCGATCTGCTCGGCCAGGACGTCCCCCTGCTGATGGGTGGTGGGCGCCAAACCCTGCTCCTTTAGCTTCTTCACCGTTTCTTCGTCGCCTCTCAGGTCCGACTTGGTGCCAAGCAATAGGACTGGCACTTTGGGGCAAAGCTGAGACAGTTCGGGTTTCCACTTGAGCGTGACGTTGGCGTAAGAGGAAGGGCTGCCGATAGAGAAGCAGACTATGAAAACATCTGCCTGAGCATAGACGAAGGGACGCAGCCGCTCATCACGGCCTGCCGTGTCCCACAGAGTGAGGGTCACTGCGTGCCCGTCGACGCTTATGTCGCCGGTGTAATTGTCAAACAGTGCAGAAAGGTATCTATTCTTAAAAACACTGGTCGAGTAAGTGACGAGGAGGAAGGTCTTACCCACTCCCCCATCACCCACCATCACACACTTGACGGTCTGCATTCTCCTTACTGGGACTGCAGCACCTAACGGCAAAAAGGTATAATGACAAACAATAAATAGCAGCACTTACCAGTCATAGCTCTTCATATTTACTTAAGTTACTAACAAACTAACAGACTTAATATACAATCATTTAGAAGCTGGAATGCTAGAGTTTAACTATATGGAACTGTTTTGTGAAGAGTTAATTGACTATAAATCACACTTTCTACTGTTTACTTCTCAATAACACATTTAAAAGCTTATACCTAAAAGTTCCATATCTGACCCAACAACACTTAGACATTAGTGCCAAGCTGCTATTCTTCTCCAAAAAGTCTAAAATACAAACATTGCCATTAACAATAAAATTTAGAAGGACTTCTTTGACTTACCAGCTTTTGACTCTCGACCCTTCTCGCCTGATAATTCCAGCTTCATCAGGAGAGCTGCCCATTATGTGTTAGCAACGAGCAGGAAGTAATGCAAGAAGCTACTTGCAAGCGGTGTGCTAATCCCAGAATGTCCTTCACGACGCAACCGAGATGTGTTGAAATCACTTTTCTCAAAAGCAGTACTGCCCTATCAACGCTAGGGGCGTCAGTGTGCTCCTAAATCTCAAACAGAAAAACTCAACAGATTTTCTACAAGTTGTTAAATTAAGTGGGAAATAATATTTCTCTTGACAACACACTTGTATATCCACATTAAAATGACTGTTAAATATGATTGTATTTAAATGTTTTTCAATGTAATTATGCTGCTACTTATAAAACAGAGTTTTTTTTTTTTTTTTTTACATTTCTAAAGCTGCCAACATGCTGCTGCTGTGTGTGTGGGATATTTACACACAAAATTCATCCTGCCTCGTATCAACCATGCGGGCAAGTGACGGTGGAATGGTGTATAGAAAATGTTCTTTCCACATTCTGGGCCCTCCAACTAAGCATTGCAAAAACACTACAGCCTGTCTATAGTCACCATTCCTTTGTGACTATCAACCATGCTGTAAACATATTCTGATAGCTGCCAAAAGCAGGGTAATGCACAAAGCTTAAATAACAGAAAACTATTTTCTTAAACACGACAATGAGCTCGCTGTGCTCCACTGGCCTCCACAGTCATCAGATCCACAGACAATATAGCACCTTGTAGTTGAATGAGCGAGTCACTGCATGGATATGCAGACAACAAATCTGCTGCAGCTGCATGGTGCTGTTGTCATCTAAACATGGACCAAAGCCACGTCTCTGGCACCAGCATATGCCATGAAGGACTAATGCAGCTCTGAAAGCAAAACAGGGTCCAACTTGGCAAGACTTTTTCTCTTCACTGTTTTTAGACAGGCTCCCCAGGATGAACCTGAGTCTGCTACTTGTAAGATTTTTTATTTATTTATTTTTTTTAACAAGTAGGAGACACAGCCTGACTTCTGGCTGTACAGGGAGGCCCTGGATGTGCTGCTTGACCCTCTTCTCTAGGAACAAAAACTGCAGAACAAAGGACTTTATGTGTTTTGTTCTCCGGCTGACAAAAAGCACATTTTGTCCCCTGGTGCTGGAGAATCTGTGAGAGAGACGCGTCTTCCCCGCAGGCTAATTTTCTTTTGAACCGTAGACACAAGTATCGTTCGTGCGACGTTTCGCTGGGATAAAAACTTGGAGGACTGAAGAAGAGGACAGAGCAGAACTAAGTTCGGTAGAACCCTAATTCTCCTCTGCTTGAGGTCAAAGAGTAACGCTGTACAAAAGCCTAAACATGTAAAAGGATGTTAGACATGTTATACGTGTCAATATGCGCTCAAAGAAACAGAGCGATTGCTATAGACATGAAGCCATATCGTATATTTACTATTACAACTTTAAACGAAAGTCTTATTTGTAAAGAGTTTCCGTTTCTTTGAGTGCATCGAAGGCCACAAGATTCAAAGTTAGAGCTAAGTGGAGGTAAAAACCTTGGCTGAGCAACATTCTCTAAGCTTTACTCTAACGTATAATTATTCACACAGACGCGTTCTGCGCTTATTCACAATCTCCTCCAGGGTTCTGCTGCGAAGCCTTGGATTTTAACACAAACATATTTTAATAATTCATCATAAAACTGAGGAGCTGCTCTACAAAAATGACCTCGCCTCCTGACGCTACACCATTAAAAACATTAGGCCTGCGTGTCACACGAGAATCTGAAAGCTAATTTAAGATGGAGAGAAGTGAGACAAAAGCCAAGGCCAGAAGTAAGCCGTTGACTCACGCAGACGGCGGCAATCTGCCCAGCACTGTTATTAAAGCCAATATCAAGTAATTAAAATAAGTTATGCGCACACACGCAGAAATGCTTGCTTATGTGGGACATTTTATGATTTATGTGATCCCAGTTAAGGGGGGGCTGATTGATGTCAAGCTGCTGCCAATGACAGCAACGCTCCAAGGTTCTGGGTGAGATGTGAGAGACGAGCGTCACTGTGTGAATCTGCAGAAACCAGAGCTTTTAGGATTAACACTTGAAAGTAAGTTCAAAGAGTGATTCCTTTGCATTATCACAAGTTGATGGGTTTTTCGCTCCTTCAGGTCTAGCTCTTTATTTTCCTTTAAAAGCAAGAGGATATTGAATTATAGTGATCACAGGAGCAAACTTTTTTTTAATTCTTATTTCATTCAGACACTCACACAGATCCATCCTTTGGTTGGATATTCTCCCACAATCTGGATTTTAAGTGAATGACCAAAACTACGTTCCATATCTTCAGATAAAAACAATTGACGTGTGAGCATCATCACAACATCCAAAGAAAGGATTGTTAAAGCATTGCCCTGAAGCACAAATGAAGAGTTCCTTCCCCTAAAGTAGAAACACAGGGATTCACCACGTCAATTAAAGTGGCAGAACAGGTTGTTACTCGGCACATTCAGTGGGCAGAACAACAGATAGTAAGCGCACACAACTCTCCAGCAGCTGGCTCCGGTTTGACTGTCAGTGTTGTGTTAATCCACTTGTACTCAGACGGCTAGTCTGAGTTTAGCTCTCTCAAAGCTGCGTTTCTGTTCTTTGTGGTTTCAAGTTTCTGTAGCTCATATGACAGCGGTGCGGTTAGCTGAGTAAGGAAGGGAACTAGCATAAGTCTCATCCTGTATGGGGAAGGGGATGTTATGTTGTGTTCCATTCATGTTAATACTGCTTTCTTATTTAGCAGCATAAAACTTTTGGTGATGTAGCGGAATGTCAAGGCTTGGTCTTTAAGTCCTGCTGACGTGACAGGTGGAAATTAACGAGAACTGCTGATCTTTTTAATGCCAGAAAAATTATTCCACTGGGACTCACGTACAACGAGTATGAAGCGTAACTTGTTTGACAACTTCACACAGCAGAGAAAGTTGTTTTGTTTTGTGTGTGTGTGTGGTTTTTTTTTTGAACAAATATTTGCATGGAAGCTTTCAAGTGGAAAACCTTTGACGCCGCCTAAAAATGAAATATTGTAATCTGTCTACCATTGTTTATTGCACTGAGTGTCAGTTCTTTTAATTTTTTACCATTTTGAAGAACATAAACCTCAACATAATTATTGGACTTTGACGCGACTAACCAATAAAAAACAGAACTCCTGAATGGAGAGTGTCTGTGAATTGATGTTTTTTTTGTTTTTTTTCCCCCCATCTTGCCACAGGTTCTCAGTTGGATTTAGGTTTGAATTTTGGCCAGCCACTCTAACACACCAATATACTTTGATCTATTGTGTTTGTAGTTATGACCCTGCTGGGAGTTGAACCTCTGCCCCAATCTGAACCATTCTGTCATAGCTCTGGCCCTAGCCTGTGACATGTTTGCTTTCAGGATTTCCATTTTAAGCTCAGTTCATCTTCACATCAACTTTATCCCTGCCGAAGAAGAACATCCCCACAACATGACACTGCTGCCACCCAGTTTTACTGTTGGAATGGTATTTAGGAGTTTAATGTAAGGGGGGCTGATTGTACGGGCACACCACACTTTTCAGTTTTTACTCATGAAAGATTTTTGAAAATGTTGCTCTCTCGTCTTCATAATTAAGTGTTACCTGTGTTAATCTACTCCATAAAATCCCAATGAAACACTTTAATGTCTGTGGCTAAAAGGTGGAACTGTTTCAGGTGTTTCAATGGGAACTGCAGCTATGATGCTGCTCGGTAAAGCAGTAGACGTTTCCACAATTCGTACTTTACCGACTTCTCTAAACGATGGATTTCCCACTAAAACAAGACGACACATTTTACAAGCCGTGAACATGCTGTCAGCGCTGCCTTCGCTTTGCAGCTTTCAGAGACAGACCGCAAGAGGAAATGCGTTCTGAATATCGCGACGGTGATGTTGTAATGAGTCCTTGACTGAGTTCAACACATCTGTCATCTGTCAGAGCCGCCACCCCCAAAAAGGTCAAAGAAACATTTCCATGTAAGCTGCGACAGGCGGACTCTTTAAGGCCCCTGATTTTTTTTCCTCTATACAGTACAGTATACTGTGTACAGTAGATAGAAATTTGCTTTAAAATGTGCATAAAAATCACACACAAAAAAAAAAAATTTACTCAGTATTATCTTAACTTTAGCCTGAGACTGTTTCCATCTTATGTTCAGATGTGGTAACTGAAACCGCAAATATAACATGAACATGTATGCGCGCTATAGGAACATAATGTGGTTTAAAGAGCTAAAAATATGGATAGCTGGGCGTCATTGTGACTAAGCCTTGCTCTGCGCCTCAGCAGGAGTAGCCTACTCTATTATTTCCTCACTGCTATCAGTCAGAGGAAAGTTAGCTGTACTTGACAACAGGCAAGGAACAGAGAGAGGAAGGAGGATTCGGAAACAAAGAAAGCTGTGCTGGTTTTAGGCACCATTTTATTAGGCATAATTTAAAATCATCTCACTGTTAGTTCATTTATACAAATATGTTTTTGTTATTTATAAAACAATTACAGATCTCTACAAATCAAGTTCCCAGTGTAAAAGCGTAGTACCACGCACACGGCAGCATATTGCTCCAGGACACAGATACAGACAGCCCACAGGTGTATGTTCCACTTTAACAGCACTATCCGAGTAAATTGGGGACATGATTAAAGAAAAACAAAAGGTTTCCCACAGATAGTTTAAAATATTGTGCACACACACACAGCCCTTGTCAGACGCTTATGGGAAATTTCATGCATCTTTTAGTAGATCTAAAAACGCATCAATGTTGTCGCACAAAACCTCATGCATTTTATTGCTCTTCATTTATTCTAGACTCTGCACAAGCCACAATCTAGGTTAAAGTATTGAATACCCCAGATGGCAGTGTAAATAAAAATAAGCATAAGGGTTGCTATTATTGCTGCTAGCTGTAAGCACAAAGAGCTATAAAACAATACTTTAGAAAAATATATAAAAATATTCTACTGTGATGCAGCAACACAGACGCAGCTCTCGTTAACTACGAGCGCAAGTTGCACTTGCGCTTTGCCCTCACTGCACCATGCGAGGCAAGGATGTAAACCACAATCTGTTAAGAGTTGAGAACCCCGTTT